TCCAAGTGAAGGGCGGGGTATAAATCCAATCATCTACTACTACTACTACTACTACTACTAGTAGTAGTAGTAGTAGTAGTAGTATTCTAGAGAGAGAGAGATCTCTCCCTGGGGAATGTAGGCCAATGCAGTGACTAGGGTTGTGAACCTCCAAGTGGGGCCTGGGGATCTTTACAACTGGTCTCAGTGAATAGAGATCCATCCCTCTGGAGAAAATGGCTGCTTTGGAGGGTGGATTCTACAGTGTCGTACCAACTGAGGTCCCTCCCCTCCCCAAGTCCTGCTGTGGCTTAATCCAGTTTGGTGTAGTGGGAGAGCCAGTTTTGTGTAGTGGTTATGTGCACAGACTCTAATCTGGGAGTCTAGTCTTGATCTGCCTTTGTGCTGTACCATGAACCCTCGTCCCACGAAGAGGCTATTTGCTTTAATAAGGGGCAGATACGTTATATACAGTATTTAGTAGTGGTCAAAGCATCAGGTTAGGATCTGGGAGACCCAAGGTCAAACTCCCACTCCGCCATGAAAGATCAAGAGCTGGTGGCAACCTCTCAGCCTAACCTATCTTGCAAAGTTGGTGTGAGGATACCACCGAGCAGGGGTGAATAATGTTGGGAGCCATTTTGGAGCTCTTGGGGAGGAAAAATGGGGTACAGATCTCTAAATAGATAATACATCCATCCTATCTCCACTTCCCTTTTTCTCCAAGGAACTTGGGGCAGTGCACACTCCAAACCCGTTCAGTCCATGCAACAACCCTGTAAGGTAGGCTGTTCTGTAGGACTGCTAGCCTCCAGATGGGGCCTGGAGATCTCCTGGAATTACAACTGATCTACTGACTACGGAGATCAGTTCCCCTGGAGAGAGTGGCTGCTTTGAAGAGTGGGCTCTATGGCATTATATTCCAGTGAGCCCTCTCCCCTCCCAACCCCAACCCCTCCTCAGGCTCCACCTCCAGAGATCTCCAGGAATCTCTCACCCTACAGCTGGCAACCCTGTTACAGCCTGAGAGAGAGAGTGGCCCAAGGTTACCCAGTGAAGGTGATGACAGATCTTCCCAGAGTTTTCTTTAAAGGGCAATAGCCATGACTGCCCCCCTCCCCCCGATTCAGATCTGGACTGCAGTGCAGGGGAGAAAGGATTCAACCCTGCCCTTTTGCCGACTGAACCCTAACACTGTCAGCAAGCTGCCATGAGTGTGGAGATGTTTTCTGTTTGCTTTGCATTCCTTCCCACGCGCTTAATTACTTCAAAGCTGCAACGCTTATCTGCAAAGTTTGACTGGAGGAGATTGTGGTGTCTATCGTCCGTGGGAGCTTCTCCGTTCCCAGCTTTGCAACCGTTAGAGAGTCTTGCAGTCTCCCGCACGCGGGAGCCCACCTAATTAGTTATTGCTGGGTGGGGGCACATACGAATGCCCTATATCCTATTATGCGCACAGGTAGCCCGCCATTCCTAACAGTTATAATCATGTTATTGCATCTATGGCTTTTCAATAAAAGTAAAACCTTCCTGGAAGCGTGTACTTCATTGTTTGGCTGTGGGTCCTGACAAACACACACATACGCACAAAAGGCTATTCATCATCTATAAAGTACTGAAACTGATGCATGGAGTTGTGATTTCAGCTCATGCTTTATTAGTACATCGGAGAACTTGAGATAACTAGCGTGGCCCATTGCCCACTTATATTCCCGTTCAGGGGTCGTTTCGTAGAAAAAGAGCTAGGGGAACTCTTTAGCATAACTCATTAGCATATGCCACACCCCCTGACATCACCGGAAGTGTGTCATAAGGCCACACCTACCACTCAGTTAGTCTTAGTCTTAAAGGTTAGTCTTAAAGGTGCTATTTGTTAGTCTTAAAGGTGCTATTTGAACTCTTGGACTATTTTGCAGCAACAGACTAACACAGCTACCTCGGGGAAGCTCCTGGATGGGGCTGGGAGTCCTTGCGGAGGCCACGTGGAGTGGCCTCGGCCAGGCAGAGGGGGAGGACGCCAACTTACCCTCCTGCTTCTTCATCCTTCTGCAACAGAATGAGGCTGGAAGAAGGGGGTGGCCGGAAGAAGGGGCAGGGCTTCGTCGTGTTCCCCGCTCCCCTGCACCTCACCTGGGGGAACTGCGATCCCCCGCGATCCCCCCCGAAATGACCTCTGTTCCCGTTCAAAACACACCCGACACACACACCCACACCCATGACTGGATTATTTACACACAACTCCCCCTAGTGGTTCCCTATTAGGATCTAAGCTGACCGATAGGTGAGGTCTAGGATCCGTAGCTGCTATTGTCCTTGTGGTGCGAAGCTCAGCACGTTCCTGCAGCCACGTGCGAGTCTGACCACGTGCGTGTAGTCTTATCATCGAAGGGGAGCAACATCATCGAAGGGGAGCAAGAAGATGGGCAGAAAGAAGACTAGACCTGCACACACCACTTCTTTCTGCACAACAGCGCTGAGCTGAATTGAGAATTTGCCCAGCCACTGCTGCCCTTGAAAAAGACACTGGGGAAGGCCTGCTTGTGAACATTCTAGGGTCCCTTTGGCCCTCAGTATGGATTTGAACCCAGAACACCCAGTCCCTGCTTGATACTGCAATTGCTCTTCCAGCCTTCTCATTAAAGCAGACATTTCCGAGCTAAAGATGCGTGCCTTTTTCAAAGCGCTTTCACATTTTTTAAAGAACCATTTTCAAAGAAAAATGACGGAAAATTGCCAACAGTAGCTGATGAGAGTTGAGAACAAGCAAATTAATGTTCCCTTAAGTGCAGATAAGTATTCTGTTATGCAGAGCTATTTTCTTTCTGAAGGTTTTTTTTTTTTAAGTAGTTCTTTAATGTTCACTGCGACTTGCAATCCTCAATTTGCATGTTCTTCTAGGACGCAGATGAGAGATGTCCTTGCTCATGTCCTCAGGTAGCAGTTATAAAAGCAGCCATGTTCAGTGGTTAGAGCGTTGGGCTAGGATCAGGGCCGCCCATGTTCAAATCCCAGTTTGGTGTAGTGGTTAGGAGCACAGACTCTAATCTGGGACAACCAGGTTTAATTCCCCACTCCCCCACATGCAGCTGCTGGTGTGACATTGGGTCAGTCATAAGTTCTTTCAGAGCTGTTCTCTCAAAGGCAGTTCTCCAGAGAGCTCTCTCAGCCCCACCTACCTCCCAGGATGTCTGTTATGGGGAGGGGAAAGGAAAGGGGTTGTAAGCTGCTCTGAGACTCCTTCAGGTAGTGAAGGGTGGGGTATAAATCCAATCTCCTCCTTCTCCTCCTCCTCTTCTTTCCCACTCCTGTATGATCTTAGGCTCCTCCTTTGTTTTGTCTTCATCACATCCCTGTGAGATAGGTTAGGCTGAGAGTGGTTCAGACAATGAACAAAGGACCTGGGTTTGCAGTCACCTGGTTTAGGTTCAATTAGGAACAAGGCTCAGGTCAGAAGCCAAGGCCCTTCCCAAGAACACGTGAGGCAATCCTAATGAGTGTCTCTGAGCATGAGCAGAATGCATCTGTCTGTCTTTTAGCCACAGTCCATTTCAAAAAGAATGGTTCTCGGTCCTGCGTGGATTATGCACAAATGAACTGAATTTGGTATTTGATATAGAAAGCAACATCATGAAAAAAATTCTTTTTTTTTTGGTCAAGAAACTTATTTTCTTAATATATTTCACATATTCAAAAGCAATTTCTTATAATCAGTTTCCCATCTCCCTCCCACCTCTCCAATGGCTTCCCGCAATGTGTTTCCCCTGTGGTCCAAAATTCGTATACATTTCAAGATAACAATCTTATATTTAGTATTGATCTAAACAAAGTAAATTTCTTTTTACATCCCAGTTTTTTCACTTTTTTTAAAGCTGGGTTCTAGTCTGCATAATCACAAAACTAGTATTTATGTGACATGGCTTTCGAGCAAGGGAACCTTTACCTTTACCTTTAGAAGAAGAAGAAGAGAAGAGATTGGATTTATACCCCGTCCTTCACTTGGAGTCTCAGAGCGGCTTACAAACTCCTTTCCCTCCCCCTCCCCACAACAGACACCCTGTGAGGTGG